CTCTTCAATTCTATTTTCCCACAGGAATAGAATGAAGATCATTCTAAAACCATAAAGTTGATTCTATCACAGTAGTTTTTAAACTCCTTCAGTGGTTTTGTGGTTAGAATTAGTTGGTCCTCCAGTGATTATTAGAATGTAGTATGAGATAGAATAAACAACATTTAAATCAGAAGTCAAGAGGTTTGTATTTGAGTCTCAGATATCAAGTTTGGCAACCTTGGGCAAGCTATATATTTTCTTGATCTGTTTCCTCAAAAATAAAATATAGACAGTGAAGAGAGGGGTGAGGTAATAAACATGAACAATACAAATGCAGGATATTAATAGTTAATTTTGTGCTTGCTGTGCCCTCTGAAATATTGTCCTTGTATCCTATTGTAATCTGTCAGACTGGTAAAAACTGAACCACTTTTCATGTTACTGTTCACATTTCACAACAAAAAGCTTAGTCATTAAAAAGTGTACATAAAAGTTAAATGACTTTTAAAAGGAAAAAGTTAATTACCAAGTTGGTACTAAAACCCAGCCAAATGTTGCATTATAGTCTGATAATCTTTATACTATTCTCTGTTGCCTTCCCAAGAACATTAAGCATGTTCCATGTTTATAAAACCACATAAATACTGATTATAATTTTAAAAATATAGCTCATCCTTCATAAATTGAGAAGAGTTTATGAACAATTTAGCTTACTGACTAAATCAGGACCTTTGGGTTCAGCTGGCTCGTAAAAGGTGAATTTATTAGTTTATGTAATTAGCTGGGAGGATTAGTAGCAGTCAGCATTGAAAGTCCAGTGCTTCAGAGAATAGAACTGGAATTCAGAGTGATCAGGACTCTGCTACTGACAGTTCTATGACTACATTCTTGTATCTGACAACCCAAGGAGAATGGGCTGTGCTCTCTGGGAAATTGGAAGGATTCCATTTGGCCTGGCCTATATCTCATAACCACTCCTGTGGTAGTATTGAAATGAACCTTATGAAATTCCAAATAGTCAATGATATTTATACCAACTAAAAAGGCCATTTCATGTGATTCCGTAATATAATAGGATAGTAGATGGGGAAAATGAGGCATCATAATTTGGTAACTCCAATAGGGCCTTGAAACGCCTTTGCTTCTCAGTTACTCTGCTTCCCTTCCAGCTCCCTGCTAATGCTCCTTGGAAGGCAGAAGAAGATGACTCAAGTACTTGGGTCCCTTCTATCCACATGGGAGATCAGGATGGAGTTCCTGGCTCCTGGCTTCAGTCTGGTCCAGAACTGGCTGTTGCAGCTATTTGGGGAGTGACTCAGTAGATGGAAGATCTCAATAACGTATGCTCTTATCTCTCTCTCTCTCTGTCACTGTACCTTTCAAATGCATGAATAAACAATTTTATCTAAAAATTGGCAGAGTGACCCAGAAGAAAAGAGCTGCTGTTCTTATTGAAAGAAAGGAATAGGAAAGCTTTCTAGACAGAAAAAATAGTGACCGGAGTCTAACACACTTACAAAGAGTATAGATCAGCTGCAATTCAGCTAGACTACCATGGAAATGAAAAAGACATCAAATACAAAAATTTTTTTTTAAGATTTTTAAAAATTTATTTGAAAGGTAGAGTTAGAGAAATCTGTCCACAGGTTGACTCACCAAATGGCCTCAACAGCTAGGGCTATGCCAGGCTGAAGCCCAGAGCTTCTTCTGGGTCTCCTACACGGGACCAGGAACCCAAACACTTGGACCATTTTCCACTGCTTTACCAGGCCATTAGCAGGGAGCTGCATTGGAAGTAGAGCAGCTGGGTCTCGAACTGGCACCCATATAGGATGCTGGCATATCAGGTGGTGGCTTAACCCACTACAGCACAACACCAGCACCTACTATACAAATTTCTAAGGTGAAATTGTCCTTACCAGCCCTTTTCTTAAGTAGCTTGGAGTTTAACATCTCTGCCTTTGTGAACAATCGTGCCTAAAGTTTGTTGTTTTTTTTTTGTTTTTTTTTTTTTTTTTTAAGATTTATTTTATTTATTTGAAAGAGTTACAGAGAGAGGTAGAGACAGAGAGGTCTTCCATCCACTGGTTTACTCCCCAGATGGCTGCAATGGCCAGAGCTGCGCCAATCTGAAGCCAGGAGCTTCTTCCAGGTCTCCCACGTGGGTGCAGTGGCCCAAGGACTTGGGCCATCCTCTACTGCTTTCCCAGGCCATAGCAGAGAGCTGGATCGGAAGAGGAGCAGCCGGGACTGGAACCGGCGCCCATATGGGATGCCGGCGCTTCAGGCCAGGGCGTTAACCCACCGTTCCACACTAAAGTTTGTTTTTTCACAATTAGTTATTTCCCCTTGAATTATAGTGAATTAACCAAGAGTAGTTGATCTTTACATCTACATGTGGGATTCTGATTTACTCAACAGTGTACTCTAAAATTATATAGCTTTGGAAATAGTATGTAATTGTTGTGGTATAGCTAAACATTTAAATAGTCTTTTTTTGTTTATCTTGTTGTTAATACCAGTGTTACATATGGGCTTTATAGAAACCATACTTTAAAATTTTAAAAATTTCTAAGAGGGACCGAGGAAGCTCCCATCTGATGGTTCATTTCCCAGATGCCTACCACAACCAGGATTGGGCCAGGTTGAAGTTGGGAGCTTAGAAATCAGTCCAAGGGCTGGCGCCATGGCTCACTTAGTTAATCCTCTGCCTGCGGTGCTGGCATCCCATATGGGCACTGAGTTCTAGTCCTGGTTGCTCCTCTTCCAGTCCAGCTCTCTGCTGTGGTCCAGGAGGGCAGTGGAGGATGGCCCAAGTGTTTGGGCCCCTGCACCTACATGGGAGACCAGGAAGAAGCACCTGGCTCCTGGCTTTGGATTGGCGCAGCACCAGCTGTAGCGGCCATTTAGGGAGTGAACCAACAGAAGGAAGACCTTTTCTCTCTGTCTCTCTCTCACTGTCTATAACTCTACCTGTCAAATAAAAAAAAAAAAAATTTTTTTTTTTTAAAGGAAGAAATCAGTCCAGATTCTCAAATGGAATCTAATCACTTGGGCCATCATCTGTGCTTACCAGGGTTCGCCAAGCAGCAAACTGATGTGGGATGCCACCATTTTAATCAGCATCTTAACTGGCAGGCTACCTGTCCACTCAGAAATCTTAACTTATTTTTAGAGAAGTTGGGTTATTAGGAGGAGAAAGGAGGAACAAAAGACTTCTGCTGATTACATAATAGCAGTATTGGGTTTTGTGCAGATTGAGAGAGTGCTTTCTGATCATTGTTAATGAAGGTGTTGGGTGAAGTAGAATGGAAGCGATTTGTAGTCCTTTTTGATCTTCATGGAAAAAAATGGTATAATTAAAAGAGATAATTTTTCTCTCTCATTTCCAAAGTGATACATATGGAACATTTTGGTAAGAAAACCAATTAAGGTGATGGTATAAAAATCAAGAAAATTTAACCATGGGGAAAATCTTTTTTCTTTCTTTTTTTAAATTTTAAGCACAAATACCCTTTTTAACTAAGGATGATTCTAATTAAGCCAACACTGTGAAATAGTTGCATGTAAAATGTTTGTGATGAAAATAATTGCACATAGTAGTGAAAAAAGTGTGGAAATTTGCCCATTAAATTTAGCTCATTCATTCTTGCAGCTAATCCTGTTCAGTGTGATGATAGCATTCTTGTTCTGCTTTTGGAAAGAGCCAATGACAGGTGACGTTTGTTCATGATGCAGTCCACCACTCACTCCTGTCTGGATTTTCCTGTTGTTGTGCTTTCCTTCCCATCCTGCTCTTGAGCAGGACACTGCCTGTAAAGGTGCAGATAGGCTGGTTTTTTTTTTTGTTTTTGTTTTTTGTTTTTGTTTTTTTTTTTTCCTGCCACAGGTGTGGTTTCTTCATACTACTTTCCCAGGGTACAAGTATTGTTTTCACAGTGCCCAGTTTTTATGGTTAGATTTTTACTATCAAAAGATAAGATCTGATTTTGCCATTCCTCAAATTTTTCCCAGAGCTAGTCCTGCTCCTAGTTACTAAATGTATTCATCAAAAGGCTTGGCTGGGGCCAATATTGTGGCACAGTGGGTTAAACCTTTGCTTTCAGTGCCAGCATGAGCACTGATTCAAGTCCTGACTGCTCCATTTCCAATCCAGCTCCCTACTTATGTGCCTGGGAAAACAGTGGAAGATGGCCCAAATACTTGAACCCTTGCCACCCACCAGGGAGACCTCGATGTAATTCTGGGCTCCTAGCCTTGTCCAGCTCTGGCTGTTGCACCCATTTGGACAGTAAACCATCAGACAAAAGATCTCTCTCTGTCCTGCTCTCTCTATAATTCTGCCTTTTGAGTAAATAAAATTAAACTTTTTAAAGAAAAAAGTCAACACCAGACTCCTAGCTGCTTATGGTGGCTACAAATGGATATGCACAGAGAGCAGAGCAGGGCCTACAAGTGTGAGCATGCAGTACTTGGAAAACAGTCATTTTAATTATTTGTCAAAATTTAAAACTTATGCTAAATTAATTGAAATGTCTATGAAAATCTTCATAGAAGTTAATCTGTATATACCTGGTGAGGCTGTTTGTTCAAATTACTTTGCTTCAAAAGACTTATACAGGTTTTAATTTTATTTGTTTTAATTTTATTATGTTTTTAAAAGATTTGAAAGGCAGAGAAAGAGCACTTGAGATCTTCCATTCACTGGTTCAATTCCCATATGGTTACAATGGACCGGGCTGAAGCCAGGAACCTGGAACTCCATCTGGGTCTTCTACTTCAGTGGCAGGTACCCAAGCACTTGAGCCATCATCTGCTGCCTCCCAAGATGGATTAGCAGGAAGCTGGATTAGAAGTAGCCAGGACTGGAACTAGTACTCCGGTGTGGGATTCAGATATCACAAATGGAAGCTTAACCTGCTGAACTATAATACCAGACCCATATTGGTATAGTTTATCTTAACAGAAAGATTATTTCTCAAGCAGTTAATATTTCATATTTTCTTCATGTTTTCTAGATGATAGTATTTCTGCTGCAAGTACGTCTGATGTTCAGGATCGCCTCTCAGCCCTGGAGTTACGAGTCCAACAACAGGAAGATGAAATCACTCTGTTAAAGGCAGCTTTGGCTGATGTTCTGAGACGTCTTGCAATCTCTGAAGATCATGTGGCCTCAGTGAAAAAATCAGTCCCAAGTAAAGGTAATTATGTGTGATGAAAAAAAGTCTTGCTTTTGCAATATTTTTCTAAACATTAAAATTGGCAATACAAAATTAGTTTCTTGGATTACTTTTTCTCCATTTCCTTTTTATTTCCAAGGAAGTATGAAATTTTATAATTTTAAATTAGAAATTTTTAATGCCATTAATGGCACTTTCATACTTTTATGTCATAGTATTTGTGTGAACTTAGTATCCAACTAGATAATTAATTTTCTGAGGATAGAAATGGAATCTTTTTTGTGTTTCCCATTCTTTCTATCATGAACATAGTAGATAGGCACTCATATATGTATATATTTTTTAAATCAAACCTATTATCATTAGAGAAACATTAAAATTATTATAGTTCAAGTAGCTTTATTCTAAGTTCTATGTTTTAATTAAGCAATAGAATTCTGAAGATATTAATTTAAACTCTGAAACTTTGTCCAACCATAATACATTGAGAAATTTAATTTTCAGGTTATTGGGAATTTTCAAAGTTAATAAAAATAGTCATAAGGACTTACTGCTTTGAGTTTAGACCAGATATACTAGCCTTTCCTTTCATTCAGTCACCAAGAATGAATTTTAAATCCTTTCACATTATCAAGCATTTGGACATATGTTTTATCTAGTTTACTAATTTCTTGGTATAGTAGATGGGGATGGACACAATGTCTTCATTTTGTTAGTGGGGAAAGTGAGGACACTTATTAGACTACCTCCTTAGTAAAGTAAGTCAATGTAAATTATTAGCCTAAGGAGGAGTCTTATGTAACTTCCAGATTCTTGATAGGTAGGAGAGAGTACAGGATGGGAGAAGCAGATTTGGAAGAAAGATTAGAAATTTAGTGTTTGAATGCTGGGTTGGAGGTTTATATGGAATATAGAGATACATATGGATAGCTGAATTATAGAGCTTAGTGCATGAGTTTGATTTGTCTAGCAATAACAATTTAGGAATGTTTAGCCTGTGGATGACAGTTGAAGCCATTGAAAGATGATGTCAAATGAGAGGAAGGCCCAGGATAGTTCCATGGGAGCGCCAGCACTTCATCATAGCAAATAAGTGATTGTGTTGCCAGCTGCTACAGAAAAGTTAAAAAGAATGAGGAGTGACCATTGGTTTGGTATTTATGTGAATGTTGCAAACTTCTCCAAAAGGATTTATAATAAAATAATATGATTAGAAATTATACTCAATGTTTTAAGAAGCAAGAATTGAGAATTGAGAAGACCAATATAGCCACTTTTTCAAAAAATTCATCTGAATGGGGAAGATGATAACAATTAGAAGAGAATGCTAAATTGAAAGCCTTTTTTTTTTTAAATATAAACACACTTTAGACTTCAAGACAAAGATGCATTATTAAAAACAAAAAGACAACAGAGTGCAGCTGATGTTGTGGTATGGTGTGTTCTAGCATCCCATATCAAAGTACTGGTTCAATTCCCAGCTTCTTTGCCTTCAGTCCAGCTCCCTGCTAATGTACCTGAGAAGGCAATAGAGGATTGCCCAAGTACTTGGACCCCTCCTACGCATGGCTTCAGACTGGCCCAACCCTGGCTATTGTAGGCATTTAGGGGTTGAACCAACTCATGGAAGATCTCTAACTCTCCCTGTCACCCTGGCCCTGCCTTTCAAATAAATAAATAAATCTATCCAAAAAAAAAAAAAAAGCTCAATAGAAATAACAACATGGAAAGCGGTGTTGTGGTAATTGATGAGACAAGTTTCCCGGGAGTTTCAGAAAGGATCTTAGATTAAAAAAAAAAAAAAAAAACATTTTTAAGTTTATTTATTTTATTTGAAAGGCAGAATGGCAGGGAAAGAGTGAGAGAGAGAGATTTAGAGGGAGAGATCATCAGTCCACTGGTTCACTTTCCACATGCTTGCAACAGCTAGATCTGGACCATAGAAAAAGGACTGCTGTTTCTGAGAGAATTCTGAAAGAGAAGAAGCTGAGTAGAAGTTGATATGCTCAGTTGTTAGGGCTGAATGTTTCAGTTCTTATCACTGCCTCCTTGGGTGACAGTGATGATAACCCTGTAAGAGTGCTAAGACAGGTCCTGGTGATGTGGACGTAAACATATTTTCCTGGTTCTTGTCTCACAGAGATAAAAATCCTCTGTGAAGACATTTACATGGATGCACAAATAGGAAGAGGACTTATTTAACTGTGAGAGAGAGAGACCATACATTTCTCCTGTGAGTGTGGGCCACCCACAGGGAGAAATACTTGTCCTAAATGGGTCAGAGGATTGCCAAAAAGAGTGGGGATGGTGTAGGAAGAGAGGAAACTGAAGTAGCACCTCTAGCTCTGGTCTGCAGCAAAAAGAGTGCCCTGTTTCTAGTCTCTTTTACGAGCATATCATGTTTTAGCTTGCATGACACCATCTGGCAAGTTTATGACACCTCCATAAACTTCACGTGGATCTTATTTTTCCTCATTGCTTCTTCCTCCTCTTGGTCCTGGATGAAACAGGTGCCTCCTGGAAAGGGGGGCATTTTGATTGACAGGTACAGAGATAACCTGCAGAGTTGTGAGGATTCCAACTCACTCAGATATCTAGCTGCCTATCTATCCATACTACATCACTGAGTGGTAGAGAAAAAGGAATAAATATGTGGAATGGTTAGAAAAGACCGTATGAGCCAGCATTCTGGCACAGTAAACCAAGATGCTGCCTGCAACACTAGCATCCCATATCAGAGCACTGGGTTGATTCCTTGTGGTTCCATTTCCCATCCAGCTCCCTGCTAATGTGCCTGGGAAAGCAGCAGAAGATGGCTCAAGTACTTGGGCCTCTGCCACCCATTGTAAAGACCAGGATAGCATTCCAGTCTCCTGTCCTTGGCTTGGCCCTGCCCTGGCATTGTGGCCATTTGGGGAGTGAACCAGCAGATAGAAAATATCTCTTTCCCTTTCTCTCTCTTGTTCTGTATTTCAAATAAATACTTTTTTTAAAGGTCTGGTTACTAGGCAGCACTTGCTGCCTGGCACCATACTGGGTGCTATGGCCTCCTGGCTTCAGTCTGGAATGGCCCTGGCTGGCCGCTGGCTGGCCGCTGGAGGAGTGAACAGTGGATGGAAGGTTGCTTTCATGCTCTCTCCATCTCTCTCCCCATCTCCCTTTCCCTCTCCTGCCCTACTCCCCTTTCCCCCCTCCTTCTACCTACCTTTCAAATAAATAAATCAATCTTGATAAGAAAAGACTGTGGATAAATGAAGAAGTGCTGAGTTGCTTTGAGGGTACGGGGATAGGAAATTTTGGGAGGGACTGGGGGATATTATTATTCCCTATACTGTGGTTCCTATTCTTTTGCCTCCCACACCTGGGCCTAGAAGGCAAGATTGACCTTTTTCTGCTGGTGTTAGTAAATTTGACAGTAACAAAAGATAGAAAGTTAAGAGTACGGCAAGAAATTTGATAGAACCTTGTATAATAATGTTACATTGTGATTTTAAAAGTTGTTGTTGTTTTTTTGTTTTGTTTTTTGTTTTTTTTTTTTTTTTTGGACAGGCAGAGTTAGACAGAGAGAGAGAGAAAGAAAGGTCTTCCTTTCCATTGGTTCACCCCCCAAATGGCTGCTGCGGCCGGCGTGCTGCGCTGATCCAAATCCAGGAGCCAGGTGTTTCTTCCTGGTCTCCCATGCTGGTGCAGGGCCCCAGCACTTGGGCCATCCTCCACTGCCTTCCTAGGTCACAGCAGAGAGCTGGACTGGAAGAGGAGCAACCGGGACTAGAACCTGGGGTGCCGGTGCCGCAGGCAGAGGATTGGCTGCGGTGCTGCCCTTAAAACTTTTTTGATAATCAACTTTAAGGACTGCCTAAGTCAAGACAGAAAATCTATTTTTTTTAAAAGATTTATTTATTTATTTGAAAGGCAGAGTTACAGAGAGGTGCAGAGTTAGAGAGAGAGATATCTTCCATCTACTGGTTCACTCCCCAAATGGCCATAACGGTTGGAACTGGGCCAATCCGAAGCCAGGAGCCAGGAGCCAGGAGCTTCTTCCAGGTCTCCCACATGAGTACAGGGGCCCAAGGACTTGGGCCATCTTCTAGTATGTTCCCAGGCCATAGCAGAGAGCTGGATCGGAAGTAGAGCAGCCAGGTCTTGAACCGGTGCTCATATGGGATGCTGGCTCTGCAGGTGGCGGCTTTACCAGCTATGCCACAGTGCCAGTCCCTGTATTTGGTTATGAATGGAGTTTTATAAGAGAATTTTGGAGTCCAGTTGATGTATATGGGCTTTGTAGGGAAAGTAAACTTTGCACGAAGAGAGAAGTTTCCTATTGATATTGATGGGTGTACCCTCTGCTTCTAGTCCTTAAGTATTTTAAGCTCTGTGATAGAAAATGATGAGTGATTGCTAAACACAACATTCTTAAAAGTTTATTTTAAATGGCTTATATTATTAATCAATAAAAAATCTCATTGTGCTAAAACAATGGTAATTTCTAATCTTAGTGCAGAAAAATTTAAAGGATGCTTTCCTCTCATTTTAAATTTACAAAGATACTTCAGTAAAGAAAATTCTGAAACATTTAAGGGAAATTTAAGGCCTGCTTTTTAAAAAATTTCAGATAACTCAGTGTTTTGAATTATAACATCAGTCACTGGACATCTGTCTCATACGCAGTGACATGAGATAGAAATATAGTTAAATAGCTGTAGCTCCTATCCCCCAGAATCTTAGTTTTTGTAAATTTCAAAAAGTTATTCCTTTCCTAGTTTTCCTCGCTCATGATTTCTTTGTCTCTAAAGTGAGTTTAAGATCAGTTTTTATTTAAATTAGTTAATTTATTTTATTTGAAAGGTAGACTGACAGAAGGAGAGACAGAATCTTCGTCTACTGGTTCACTCCCTTAATGGCCTTAATGGCAGGGCTGGTCCAGGCTGAAGCCAAGAGCCAGGAAATCCATCCTGATTTCCTGTGCAAGTGACAGGGGTCCAAGCACTTGGGCCATCATTTGCTGCTTTTTCAGGTGCTTT